TTCTATTAAGATTTCGTTAGGTAGTCCTCAATTTACAATCATTCACTTAATGACCATTTGAAGATACAAAAGCCTTTTGTTCTGACCCAAACCTGGTTCCAAGAGACCAAACACAAGACAAAGGTAGCAGCACAACCTTTTAATGCTTCACCTATGAATCCTGTTTCTTCACAGATAAAAGGCGGCTTCCAACTAATTAGCTCCGATAAGAAAGAGCCTTGCCAACTTTTTGCATGGCTGCCAAGAACAACAGATAAAATTCCTAAAGAATAAATCAAAGAGTCTCCAAACACAAACTCAGATATTCCTAATGTCCACCAGGCTCGAGCACAAAACTGTTTCTCAGCTGGCTTTTATTTTCTCAGGGAGGGGGGCCATTTCCTTGCAGCCTTACTCCCGAGTCGTCGGTGCTGCTGCAGCTGCTCTTTCCTTCAAGCATCCTTGCACGCATACGCACTGGGCACAGGCTCCTCGGGGACCTCTTCATCATTGCTGCCAGCCTCCACCATCTCCGAAGGCAGCACTCCACTCCCTGACGGTCCTGGCCCCATCCCTGCATCACACGCAGGCCCCTCATCTGAGTCCTCGCTTTCCGAGACCTCAGCCGTCCACACCTGCTGCCGGTGAGCCACAACACCCTTACGACCATTTTTCACACCTACGACCATTGTAGCATCCCCACAGTCATGGGATCAAAATTCTGACGCTTGACAACTGATTCAAATTTATGATGGTTGCAGTGTCCTGGCAACCTTCAAGCAAAGTCAACGGAGAAGGCAGGTTCACTGAGCTGTGCTACTAACGTTAACAACTGCAGTGATTCATTTAAAGAACTGGCAGGAAGGGTAATAAAATGGAGCAAAACTCACTTAGCCACTGTTTTGCTTAGCCATGGAAATTTGGGACTCAATTGTGGTCATTAGTCAAGGACTACCTGTACAGCAAGAAAATAGCCAGGAAGAAACAAAATAATACATTATCTTCTTACACACCAGAACCAAAAATAAGAGGCAGTATATGAAAGTGCCTAATCGATTTAATTTTGACAAGGAGCCTGGACCTATTTCTCCTTTTTATTTTCAAAGGCTGTGCCTCTGTAGTAAAATTGATGCTAGAGCCTATAGGTTTCCACCAGTGAGTATGAAAACTGTATTCATCACCTCCTTGGAACCAGATGTATGCTGAACAGCGGCAAGCAAGCATGTATTTACAAGACTGATCTGGCTTCTTAACCGAATTATACGGCGAAAGAACAGCTTGTTTATTTTGTTTTATTAAAAATACCTTGGCTGCTGGAGGAAGGGGCACCAATATTTTTTCCCTGCCAGCAGCTCTTTAAACAAGCATTGTGCTTAATCTGGTTTATAAATGGGTTTAATTCTACCTGGGGGGGGTGGGGGGGGCGTATACCTACAAGCTGCTTGCAACAGAATGCCATTAGTAAATACATAATTGCAATTTAAAAAGCCCTTCCTGCCTCCAAATTTTAAAATCTAGTAACGAAAGGACAGCATAATGTTGCTGCTGCTGGCCGAGATGAAATGTGGCTTAAATAAAACCCAGAGTCTCTGTTTGCATTCCAATGAACAAAGCACCCTCTTACAACACCGATTAACTACTAGTTTATAGCTGTTCGATCTGTGTGGTCTTTTTGCTCCAGTGGTTAGAAACGGGTACAGGAAGTTGTGGGTGTTCTCACAAAATAACTGTCATGGTGGGTGTAGCCATAATGTTTCCTTGCAACAAGAAGCAGGTAGTTCCCCACTGAATTTTTTTCCCCGGAATGGACTTTGGGGTCTAAATGATGCTCTTAAAGTTTGCAACGTGGTATCGTATCTTCCGAGTGGACCAAGTTAGGAAACAGACACTGGATGGATGAGTGTGAAGTCCACATTATTGTTATGGAATATAAGAAGAGAAAGTTGAAAGCCTGAGAAAGAGACAGACCAGTTCGAGACCTGGGAAGATCCTGGAAAAGATAAGCAACAGAGGTGAGAACACCAAGAAGCAAGCAAAGTTACAACCAGAAATCAACATGGGTTTGTCAAAAACACATGACGGTTTCATCATCAAAGAATATCTGAAATAGTATAGGATCTCCTGCCGTGAACAGAAGGTTGGATTAGAGGTGTTCCAAGGTTCCTTCCAACTCTTATTATTGTATAATTCTCTCTCGCCGCTCTTACACCAAAGAAGATCAAAGCCAGGAAATCTTGAGTTCCTTCCTCACCTTCTCCTATCTATCCAGGTCCAGCTCATGTTTTTGTTACAGTCATTAAATATATCTTCAAGACTATCTTCACACCCTTTAACAATTGGCATTAAGGTGTCCTAGATTCACGTATCCTTAACACACTGATGGAATTGGAATTATGCCCACCATTGCTACTGTCAGGTTGTCCAAAAACCAAGACAGACAACCTTTAGGTTCTTCTGGCTACTTGCACCATTAAATACATACTTTGAGAATTACTAAAGGGGAAATTGTCTTCATTCATCTCAGCCAAACTATCTCCGCCAAACTTTGCTATCTTGTCTTGGTCCTCTGAAATACAGCCTGTCAGTCTTGGAAGCCATTTTTTACTTAGAAGCTTCGAAGCTGCCACATTCAGTGCCTGGGAATTTGGGAGGGGGGATTTCATAGTGAGGTAGAAGACACAACAACATTCCTTTCTCAGAGAGTCAAGGACATGTTGCCCTGCACCTGGAGGGGAGTGACTGGAGGGATGTCTACAGTTGGGACAAAGATTTGATTGGGTCATGTGATGGACTGATGGATGCAGGGGATGGATCTTGGATTTCTCGTTTGGGAAGGGAAAACCTGGAACTCTGAGGGTTTCCTGCCTTAGCAGGGGGTTGGACTAGAGGACCTCCAAGGACCCTTCCAACTCTGTCATTCTATCACTAAATACCTCACAGTTGAACCCTGAGCTGCAAAGATTCTCTTTTCTTAGAACCTTTTTTTTCCTGAACACTGGATTTGCACCTTTTTGTTTTACACAGAATTTGGCCCCTGAATAATATAATGTGCTTTGAAATTGTTGTCCCTTCCTGCCTGCTAGGCTGCCAAGCTTAATCCTAATTTCCCATCCTGTATGTATTCTTTCGCCCAGTTGCCACCTGGGCCCTGAAGACAGAGGCTAAGCCATTGATTAAATCTTCAAGAACTGCAAGGAAAGCAAAAATTAAACAAACAATCTGGATGGTTTCAGCCATTTGTGTAATGCTAACTTGGGAAAAAAAAAATATATATATATATTGCAGGAGAGACAGAGCGCAAAACCGACAGGGAATAAATCTCTGGCAGTCCCTTTTTTAAGTAACCGGGTTTCACCCATGGGGTTTAAACTGCAGAAAAATTGGCTGGGATTTTAATATTTCTTGACACAAGCGCGCTTCAGCTGTGGACTGACAACTGGCAAGCAATCTAACATTTGAGGAATTAACGTTAAGCCCTCTGCGGCTGCAAGGGAGCGTATTAAACCGCCGGCCGGTGCCTTCTCCATTTAAATTGGCCATCTTGCCACATAGCCTCACCCAGGGTGGCTACATTTTCTGCAAGAGCCACCTTGGTAGCCGTCTTCCCGTTCCAAGAAGCTAATTCAGGGAAGCCGAACGAACGGCGTCAACCTTGAATGTGTTGGTTCGGAAGTCCTGCCGAGGTCAACTAGACTAGCTTCAGAGACAACGGGATAGAACTTCGGCCTGGAAGGTGTTGCAGTTAAAACAACGGAAGAATGCGGATTTCTCTCCATGCCTAGAGGACAAAGTGGCTCCAATTATGAATCGTGACTCTTCCATGGGAGGAAGGAAAGAAGAAAGGAACCAAACCAAGAAGCAAAAGGGTGACACGACAGCATTGCTGCAATGTTGAAGGGGCTCCTACAAAGACGGTGTGTGTGTGTGTGTGTGTGTGTGGTGTGTCAACTTATTCTCCAAAGCACCAGAAGGCAAGACAAAAAGCAACGGGTGGAAACTAACCAAGGAGAGAAGCAACTTAGAACTAAAGAGACATTTCCCGACAGAACAATTAATCCGTGGAACAAGTTGCCTCCAGAAGTTGTGAATGCTCCAACGCTGGAAGTTTTTAAGAAGAGATTGGACAACAATTTGTGTGAAGTGGTGTAGGGTTTCTGCTAAGCAGGGTGGGGTTGGATTAGAAGACCCTTCCAACTCTGTTATTCTGTATGCATAGCTACTCCAAGGAAGCCTCGATTGACTTTCACAGAATTTACTCCCTCCTTGGCGGACGTAAAAAAACAGGCATTAAAAAAAAAAGTTCCTTTGGGAGTGTAAGAAGAATTTAAGTCTTAGACAAGCCTGATCAGCTTTCCACAGGGCATGAGGATTGACACCGCTGTCGTTTCCACAAATGTCGTAACACCAAAACGCGCACATATTCCACACTCCCGAAAACAGCAAAGGGAGGTGGTTTAGCTAAATCAGAGTTCTCTCCGGCTGTAACTCCTTTTATTATGGTTCCCCGCTTTTTTCCTGCTTCAGACTTCCAGATAGAACATGGCTCAATCTCTAAAGTAATTTTTAAAAGAAACCCCAAGGAATTTGGAATAAACGAGATTCTTGATGAATAAGTCGAGGGCATATAACAAAACCTGGCTTCGCAACCAGGTTTTGTTATATGGCCAGGGAAAGGAAGGAAGAAACAGTGATCTGATTTTAAGGATTTTTCCATAGGTCCAGTAACTGCGAGGACACAGAATTCTCCCAGGCACCTCTGTAAAAAAAACAACAACCCCACATTCCATACAATCACAAATGCTTGCAAATAGCTAATGCTGCCCTATTAAAAGATAGCACAGCATGGCGGATACTGAATTATGACTTTTTTTTCACTCTGTCATTTCATCGCTTGGCCTTCCAACTCTCCGCGGGTCGAAGGAAAGGTGGAAAAATAGGAGTGTTTTACCATACATGATTCTCCAAAGTTCTCTGCGGTTTTCATTAGCGAGTCAAATAATTGTGGGGTTTTCCGCTCCCTTTGTGCAAAAAAAGAGCTTGTTTTTAGATAAAGAGTCTGCTTTTTCGATTCAAATGCTTCTGTTCTGGATTTTTGTGCAGACACACACATAAAAATAGTTTTGTTTCTGGGTTTGTTTTTTTTCTTCCGTGAATGCTACAGTGATCTAGGCAACGTTAAAAGAGGAGCTGCTCTCTCGAAATGCTGACTGGGTTCTTGTCCGGCAGGCCGGCTATTCATTTTCTTCTTCTTACTTCATCTTTCCAATTTATGCTTAGGAAAGTGTGATTATATCTGCAGCTGAAACTGGTATGTGCTGGTTTTCCATTGGGTGATATCGGCATTCAGCATGGTCCGTTCGGTGAAGGTGACATGTCCTTCCCCGTCGACGAGAATGACTGTGTTAGCTCTGAAAAAGGGGGAAAGAGAAAAAAAGACACAAGTACAGGTGGTCTTTGACTTACTGTGATGACCCAAAGGGGCGTGGCACAAAGGCAACACAGCCAGGTAACAGGTATGAGTCCCTTTATTTGCTCCAACTTTACCCCCGACGTCCCGATTACTCTCCGGCCTGGAGAAAAGCTCTCCCACAAACCTGCAACAGCCTTTGGCTGCAGATACTCCAGTTCAAATGCTGTAAGCAGAATGACGGCAGTCAATCACTCCAGCAGGGCAGGATAACGAGTCCAATAATTTCAGCAAGGCAAGATAAGCACACAGAAGCATGGCAATAATTCATACAATCGGGAGGAATGCCAGGAATGCAGGCCACAACTCTTAACACTAGATGAATTCAGCATTTGTTCCCGACAAACGGCCCTCCCAACTGCCTCTCCTTTAAACTCCATCCACAGGGGTGCCTTGTGAAGGGAATCAGGGCCTTTTCCTTCCTCAGAAGCCACGCCACCCACATTGCTTTCCTCTGCGTTCCTCTCTGCATGCCCTAGGATGAGGGGTGGGTGGGCCTTGGTCTTCATCTGAATCCCCTCTCCCTTGTTCTACCTCTCCCCTGCTCTGCCGAGCCTGACTTTGCCCTTTTCCCTGTTACCTCTACAGCCAATGGAGCCAATCCCCTGCTCCCTGACGGCTGTTCGTCTTCCTCCTAGGATTCAGACGCTGATGGGAGCATAACACTTACAACAGTTCATGTAGTGACCATTTGAAGTTACAGTGGCCCTGAAAAAAGTGACTTATGACCCGTTTTTCACACGTACATCCCCACCGTCATGTGGTCAAAATATCAGAAGCTAGGTGTCATGCCCTTGTTGGAGTCTGATTCTGAGGGGGAGATTGAGCAGCTGACAGGGAGTGAGAGTGTGGCTCTGGTGGCTGTGGAAGACATGGGGGACGGGCACAGTCTGGCTGGGCATTCAGAGGAAGACCCAGGGCCACCCCCTCTTCATCCTAGGGCACGCAGGGGGGAACGGAGAAGGGAGAAATGTGGCTTACGGGGGGAGAAAAAGGCCCTGATCCCTTTCATTAGTTGCAGCTGGGAGAACAGGATATAAGAAGGGCGTTTGCAAACACAGCACCTTGCTGGAAGCAAAGCGTGCATTATTTTTGTCGAGGCTTATCTGGGTTTTGGCATCCACCCAACTGTGTGTGCTTCGTTCTGTTTTGGAAGTCTGCAATTTATGATTCTGGCCTGTCATGTTCATTACTTCAGCGTGGTTTGTGTTGGTTTCTTTAATTCCTAATTTATCTGTACTTTGGGTTTGGACTGCATTTCTTCCCTTTGTAGACTGTTTTTGGAAGAGTTTGCTCTCCAGCCGAGGATAACTGGACATTGGGGGCCAAGTTGGAGGCATTAAAAAAGGAATTTATCTATTTTTGTGACGTTGTTATTTTTGTGCCACGCCTCGGGTCATCACACTAGGCAACTGGCATGTACTTATGACGGATGCAGTGTCCCAAGGTCCTTTTGTGACCTTCCTATAAGCCAAGTCTTACAGAATAACAGAGCTGGAAGGGACCTTGGAGGTCATCTAGTTCAACCCCCTGCCGCCCCCCCGCCCAAGCAGGAGACCCCACGCCATTTCTGACAGATGGCAGTCCAGATTCTTCTTGAAAGCTTCCAGGGATGGAAGTCAATGGGGAAGCCAGATTCACTTAACGACTAACTTAACAACTGCAGCGATTCATTTAACAATGGCAGCGAGAGAGGTCATAAAATGGGGCAAAATTCACAAGCGTTTTGCTTAGCCACAGAAATCTGGGGCTCCATTGTGGTTGTAAGTGGAGGACTACCTGTATTATGCTCTGCCTTTAGGACCCAAAGCAGTCCACCCCAAGAGGGAAAAAAACAACAACATATGAGTCACACTAATGCAACAAATTCGATTGCAGTTTAAAAGCTAAAAGGATATAAAAGAGGCATTAGGGTTCAAAACCACCCCGAGCGTTATTAATAATTTTTCAATGCTCTCCTAAAAGGTCCGGATTTGCTCCACCGAAGGCCAGACGGGGAGGGTAGATGATTTATTTCAAGCAGAGACAGATGGAGACAGATGAATATGGGGTTGGAAAATTTAAAATCTTGCCTCCATCCATTTTACATCGTAGAATTCTGGACCTTTGGACCGATTTTATTACAGACTAGCTCGATGCCCGTGCTCCGCTACAAAACTATGTGGTCGGGCTTAGTTTTTTGGGAGGAAAATAAGGGGACAAGATTGTGTCTACCAGCATCCTCTCCGTATGAGAGAGAGCTGAGGGCTGTTTGGAGGCAGAGATGAGGCCAGGGCTGTCTGACAGTTATCAGCTGCCGTCGGAGATCAGTGGGGCAGAAGAACAGCTGGAGCCTGTGCCCAGTGTGTGCATGCGCAGAGCTGCCAGGAGAATAGAATTGCTAAGGAACAAGGTTAGACTTGGGAGTAAAACCACAGGTGGATGGCCCCACTGATAGGGAACAAAAGAGGAGTGGAAAGGGAGCGGTGTTTGGAAGAGACAATTAGTTCAATTCATTAGGGTGAAGATCTGTTCCTGACTCCTGGCCAAGTATTGTCTGCTACAGCATGGTGTTTGGGAGATATCGGCCTGGCAAATCTCCCAGCCTGATAAAGATCTGTAGTTGTGCAATCTCTTGAAAGACTGTTTGTTGGCTGGGACTGTGCTGGAAAGTGAATGAGAGGAATTCACTTTAGCCTAAATAAAAGGGGTTTTATCAGGACGAGGAGCCGGCTTCGTGCTTTTGGGAACCTAGGTAAGAACAACCACTGCCAGAATCAGCCACTTCCAGAAAGAGGATAAATGAAAATCCCAGATAAAATTCTTGTGTTCTGGCAAACTCGGAAATAAATTCTACTTGGCACAAACTCAGTTAACGTAAGAGACCTCTCCTGCTGTTTTATATTAACTCAGTTTTCCAATCTTTGCAGAACCTGTGCCAGTTCTATCACCTGGGTACCAAAGAATGCTCTTTTCTTTTCTCCTTTTTTGCTGGCACTTCCGTGCACTCTCCCCGCCCCGCCAAATCAATTCCCAACGGAGAAAGCTCAACTTTGTCCTTGTTTGTGTCTTTATATCGGGCCAAATCCAGGATTTATGACACCTTCCTGGAACAAAGAAGAGGGGAGGAAGGAAGACAGATTAAACGAAAGCAAAGGTTTGCCTCTTTACTTCCGGATAATATTGGGTTTTGATTTATAATCACTTATCTTGTTTTCAAGGCTTGGTTGGACATCTACCCCCGAAAGGCAGGACATTAATAATTGTAATCAATAAATTATAACGGCAATCCATTGAAATCACCATGTTTTCCAGGTAGGTCTGGGCCAGAATTAAAAAGGGTCTTCCTTCAAATTTCTGTGCGTGGAAATTTGCTTTGCGGGATGCGTCAGGCCACAAATTGTGACTCTTGTTGGGTATTTGTCACCAAACTTTTTTTTTTTTGGTTTCATCTTTTGATCTATGGCAGCAAGTGCCTGTTTTATCCCCAAACGTACGTTGGAAATAGGTTTATCAAAGTCTCAGCCTAGTCAATTCTTTTGCAGAGATCCTAATAAATCTGGAGCAAACAATGGCTTTATGGAGCAGCAATTTACTTTGAGGGATGGGCTGTTCCTTCCTGGGCTGGGGGATCTTGATGGGATTTCTTCCTTTTAATGCAGAGTACATAAATTCTATTTACATCAGGTATACGCATACTCACCGATTCTCTATTAAAAATGGCAGAAAAGTACACCCCTCCCTTTCCTTGCTGTAAACTACTACAGGTTTATTCCTCGACTTATGGCAACTGGGACCAGAATGTCAGTTGCTAAGCAAGGTGGTCGTTAAGTAAGTCACAGCCAATTTCTTTTTTTTTTTTGCCACGATTATTAAGCAAATCACTGCAGTTACTCACTGAATCATGCAGTGGATTAAGCAAATCTGGCTTCCACAACTGACTGGGTGTGTTGGAAGCTGCCTGGGAAGGTTGCAAATAGCAATAGCCCTTAGACTTATATACCGCTTTGCAGTGTTTATAGTCTTCTCTAAACAGTTTACAGAGTCAGCCTCTTGCCCCCAATGATCGGGGTCCTCATTTTACCCACCTCGGAAGGATGGAAGGCTGAGTCAACCTTGAGCCATTCAGGATCAAACTGCTGGCAGTGGGCAGAATTAGCCAGCAATACTACATTCTAACCACTGCGCACCATAGAAGGATGGATGGATGGATGGATGGATGGATGGATGAATGGAAGGGATGGGAGGGAGGGAGGGAGGCAAGGAAGGAAGGAAGGAAGAAAGGAAGGAAGGAAGGAAGGAAGGAAGGAAGGAAGGAAGGAAGGAAGGAAGGAAGGAAGGAAGGAAGGAAGGAAGGAAGGGGTAGCAATAGCACTTAGATTTCTATTCCTCTTCATAGTGCTTTACAGCCCTTTCTAAGTGGTGTCAAACGGCAGTCAGCAGAAGTAGCCTGCACTCCTGCATTCTAATCCCTGCGCCACCACGGCTCAGGTTATCACGTGATTGCAGATGCTACAACTGTTGTAAATACAGACCGATTGCCAATGCCCAGGTTCTGATCACGTGACTGTGGGGATGCTGCAACCATAGTTAAGTGTCAAGATCGGTTGTAACTCCTGCTTGAGCAGGGGGCTGGGCTAGAAGACCTCCATGGTCCCTTCCTGCTTGTTCGTTCGTTCATTAATTAATTAATTCATTCATTCATTCATTTTTTTTGGTGCTTTTTTCATTTCGGAAGGTCACAAAACGAAAGGTTGCAAGTCAAGGATTAGCTGTCATCTGGGAGGGCTGCCATTTGCTCACGGGTTAAAATATAATTCGAACAATGCAATATTCCTCTTACCTGGTTCCATAACCTGGACATCGGACGCACAGAGCTGCATACTTGTTTAGGAACGGAAGGACGTAATCCTTTCCCTGGTCTTCCATTGCAGGGTCTGGAAGCTGACTGGACCAAAAAGAAGCCAAATCAGAGATTGTGGAACTGAAATTCCCCACTTCCTGTGCTTAGATGGGTATTTATTGATGGCTTAAGGGGTAATCTTGTAAGTGATGCAGTGGCCTAGAGGTGGAGCTCTCGCCTCACAATCAGGAGACTATGAGTTCGATCCTAGGTAGAGGCAGATAATTTCTCTCCGCTGGGCACAATAAGAATATATCTGCTGAACATAAACTCCCAGAATGGCAACAGGAAGAGCATCCGGCTATGAAACAGTCTGCTAGCTCCATTCATTTTCTCAGACTCCACCCCGCAAGGGATTACCGGGTTGTTAAATTATGATGATGATCATAATTTAGGGCCAGAAGCTCCTTGACCTCATAATAATGGATGGATGTCATGCTGCCTGCTTAACATAAACCTGGCCAAGGTAAAGATGGCTCGGTCTGTTGCAAAGGCATGTAATCGCGTGCTAAATGTCCTGGATTCTGGAATGGGGACCGCACTGCCAGCAAGTCAGTCAGTTTGTAAGTCAAGGCAGGGGAAGTTTTGACTCTACTGATGTTGGTGGCCTACAACTCTCAATATCTCACACCCTTGGACATCTGCAGAGAATGGTTTGAAACAGAGCAAGATGTCAGGATTCCGGCAGTTACCCCCACTTAAATCATGAGTCTCGAGCCAAACTTCCAAAACTTCAAAAGGATTTTTTGGGAGTTAACATGTCCAATACTGCCTGAGTGTAGCCGACTCTGAGGCACACCATGCATGGTCACCCTTGACCCTGGTTTCGCCCCACCCCTCTGGGTGTATCGTAATTCATATTCTCCAATGGGACACATCCATAGCCAGGAGTCATCAATCATGCTCTCCTGTTAGAATTTTGCATGGCAGAAACTTCAGTCACCCAGTTACCATCTTTGAAAACATTTATGGAATGCGCTTTCGCTTTCCAAGCTGCCGCACTGCTCCCTCTCCTTTTCTATTGGCAGCTCTAAAAAGACCATAGAACTATTTTATGAGTCGAGACAAGAGAAGATGCAGAGCCTTACGGGTCCTGGTTATTCAGCAGTTTAATCAGTTCCTGGACCAGGGCTTCTTTCTGGAGGCTCTGGCTGTGCTTGATGACATCTGAAAAAAGCTGCTTTCCATATTGAAGTTTCTTCCAAGGCGTATCCAGCAAAGAGTTGCTCAAGCCGTATACCCCTGTGTGGCGAGATCAAATCTACCTTCAGGCGTTTTGCAACGAAGCACAAGGAAGCTGCTCACCCGGGTGACAAGTTGACAACACCCCACAACCATCGAGCTCCCTACGAAACACGGAAACCGTGGCGACGGTTGCTCGTCTCAGCCCAACTCTCGCCACGCACGAACCATTGTCCATCGTGTGTGCAACTCAATTTTCGGGAACTAAAAACGCCGGGATACGGGCGACGTTCTTGGGACGCCACTTTTTGAGTTTACGGGGTTAAAAAAGAGGGATGATTCACTAGACAGCAAGATATGCATTCACTTGATTTTGGCTTTGGGGAATAAAATGATAGAAAATATACCCTGGATAATCTGGAGGGTTTGTATGTTTGGAACAGCTTGCTAAAAAAAAAAGATATGCTTCAATGCAGCAGTGAGGTTTTGTTATCCACAACCCTGTAGTTTTGCCACAGATAAGCTGGGAAATAAAAGTCTTGACACCACAGGTGTATGATAAGAATCACTTTGCTAGGAACAGAATACTGCTAATGGAAAACGCTAAAGACAGGCTCGCAGTTATCTTACCCAGCAAAAAGGTTTATTAGGGCTGTTGCAATGTTTTGTTCCCAGAGCTGGATTATCGCAAAAAAGCCCCCAAATATAGACACAAAGGGAGAAGTGGCATTGCAGAATGACAATACTGGCCTTTGCAATGCAAGATTGGCCTTCTGGGGTTGCCTGTGGTTTGTGTTACAATTAACAGAACATTACCAGATTATCAGAGTTGGAAGGGACCTTTGGTAGGTCATCTAGTCCAACTCCCTGCCACCCAAGCAGGAGACCCTACGCCATTTCTGACAGAAGGCAGTCCAATCTCTTCTTGAAAGCTTCCAGTGATGAAGCTCCCACAACTTCCGAAGGAACTTCTGGTTGATTGTTCTGTCAGAAAATTTATCCTTATACAGTTTCCATCCATTGTTCCTTGTCTGGCCTTTGGGTGCTTTAGAAAATAGCTTGATCCCTTCCTCCTCTCTGTGGCAGCCCCAACAAATATTGGAAGGCTGCTCTCCTATCTCCCCTGGTCCTTCTCTTCTCTAGACTAGACGTACCCAGTTCCTGCAACTGTTCATCGTATGTTTTAGCCTCCAGTCCCCTAATCTTCTTGGTTGCTCTTCTCTGCACTCTTTCTAGAGTCTCAACATTTTTTCTACAGTGTGGCGACCAAAACTGGATTCAGTATTCCAAGTGAGGTCTCACTAAGGCTTTATAGAGTGGTATTAGTACCTCGCTTGATCTTGATTGCATCCCTCTGTTTCATGCAATTTAGGATTGCATTGGCTTTTTTGGCTGCTGCCGCACATTGCTGGCTCATAATTAGTTGGTTCTCCACGATGCCATAATGTCACCTGCTCTCAACATCCTGAGTTCTTCTACATGTCAATCTTTCCAGGAAGATCAGATCAGAAACAGATTCCAGAGAGGCTTCAAACTATGTTGATTAAACTGGATCATTAGAAAACACAACCTCACAAATTTGAACGGGGTTCTTTTCTCCTCCTTGTGAATGTATAACTTATGCAAATTATTGGGGGCAGGGGAGGGGGAGAGGGAACTACCTGAGTTTTTTTTTTATGTAACGTTGCCTCTTCATTAGGGCTTATTTCTGTTGCTTGCAAGGTGGTTAGCAGATGTTAAGCGGATTTTGCTTGTTGGAAACAACGCTGGGAAAGTGGCCAATGGCGACCCCACCACCCTGGATCCTGCAACCATCGTATATAGATGCAGGTTGCTCGAATTTTGATCATGCGACTGTGGCGATGTTGCACCAGTTGTAAGTCTGAGGACTAGCCGTGACTCACTTTCTCCAGTGTAACTTTGGTCACTAGAGGAACGGCTGTAAGTCAAAGACTACCTCTCATGTATTGTTCTCTGAACCCAACGACTCTTTTATCATCCACGTGAAAAACCACCCACACGTATCCCAACTTGTAAGTCATCTTGAAACTTGCCATGTTAACAAAACTGAACATTAGAAATAGAACTCTTTCTGGATTGCAGTCAACAGTCTAGACCGGGAGCGTCCAACCTTGGCAAGTTTAAGACAGGTGGGACTTCAACTCCCAGAATTGGGGAGTTCAGCTGGCTGAGGAATTGTGGGAGTTGAAGTTCACCGGTCTTAAAATTGCCAAGGTAATTGCCGAAGCAATCAGCAGCTGCTCATTTCTGAATCTCCCTTTGTCTTCATGTCTGTCATGGCAAAATACACATCCAGGTATGCAGCCAAACCACCGCTTTAAATAAATTCAAGGTACCCGTGTTTTGTTTCGTTTTTAATTAAACCCACCGGGATTTAAGAAGAGAGGTTCTGGGTCTCCTTTATTTCCATAATAGTAAATTACATCTCCGTTATTGGTGCTAAAAGATAAAAATAGAAGAAGAAGAAGAAGTAATAGAAGAAGGAAGAGTTCTCCTTGCAAAAACTGGCAACTTAAATCTTTGATCCAGTTCTACTTATCCTCTATCCTTTATTTGCACATAGTTATTAACATCGATTACATCTTTATTTAATGATTAGCCCTTGGGTCATATCAAAGTGCAGGGTTCCAGAAACAGATGATTACTGAAATCTGATAAAAAGCAATATAAAGTGGAATTGGAATAAAATACAATTTAAAATGAAATTGGAATAAAGTACGATTTAAAATGACATTGGAATGAAGTACAGTCTTAAAATGAAATTGGAATAAAATGCAATCATTTAAGATAGAGGTAAAATATGGTAAAATTATATCTCGGGGTCACCCCTGCAATCTAACCCAATCAGTCCCGCATATGCAGATCTCAACTGAACCATTTTGCTTAAGTACTGTACTGAGTTAAATGTTATTTTCAGTTTCTGGCTGCACATAAGGTAAGTTGTTTTGATATGGGGGTCCTTATGGGTCATTCTACTTCTACCTCTGCCGCTCTGCAAATGGATTTAGTCAATCTTTAGTCAATCTTTAGTCAATATTATGTCAATCTTCAGTCCAGCAAGATTTCTCCTTCCCCCATTCAAGAAATCAGCAAACTATTTTCTTCTCTTAAAATAATCTGATGGCATTTCTGCAGTAGGGACACTGGTTAAGAAAAGCGAGGGGAGGACTGTAGCACGGAAAATATTTTTTTTTTTTGTAGATTTGATCAAATTATCTGCTTTTAAAATGAACAACAACAACAAAACAAACACTTTTGAATTTAGCAGCTAAGAGCCGATGAAGAAAATATTTTGCTGGAAGGTAGGAGAGAGAGAGAGACATGGAATTGCCCTGGAATAGCTTGGTTTTTCTGCCTTCAAATAATTAAAAGACAAGAAAATTCAATTTATCCAGTGAGAATTTGATTATTCCCTTCCTGACGCTTCTATCCGCAATGTTAGAAGCATCTAAGATGGGTCCAATATATTAAATTAGCCCAGTTTCTTGTGCCAATTGCATTAGTTGGTTATTAATATTTTCCTATAAATTTCACTGAGTCAACCATTATATATTCTAATCACATCTCCTTCATTGTAAAATCCATGTCTGCTATTTTTATCCTCCCGGGATTATCACCAACTGCATTCAGGAACCAAATAGATTTAAAACAAAAACAAAAATTACCATACCATAAATAGGACTCAATGTCAACACACACCTATGGAATTAGGGAAAGCGGGGTGGGGAAGCTAAATCAACAAACCACCCAATTTTTACTGAAGGAAAAACATGCTGTAGAAGGAGGAAAAAAAGTCCATCAGCAGAATAAAATTATCTGCATAGATGTGCATAATAAACTCGTCCCCAAACAAATGAAAAGTTAATTAGTCAAATATATGCAGTGGTATGAACTAGACATCCATCTTCGGTACCATAAAACCTTCAGAGGGAAATTAACTAACTCCCTAATATTTGTTGAGCTTAAATAGGGTAAAGGCTCCACTTAAATGCGGATGTTTTTCATCTAGTAGTATAACGGTAAAGTCTAAACGCACCTTCTCTTTTTCGACAGGTAAAACCGCAGGTTTATTTTTGGCCACTTTTAAACCACAAATTGGGGCGCTAGCAGAACAGCCAAGACTATTGCAAGAGGAAATTCCACCAGCTCAAAGCAAAAAAGTTGGGAGAATAGATCAGATCTTGGCACCATTCATCATGAAAACCTGGAAACGTGTTTTGCAGGTAGGCGAGAGAGCAAGCAGGTAGATGCTGTTAGCACATCAAAATCGAGCAAAGAAAGACGGAAACAGGGCAGGTCTTAATATAGGGGAATCATTGTAGCTCAGGGTTGAAATGAGGAATCCTTGGGGCCTCCTGAGCTTGGTAGTTTTCTTGCAGATGTTTCACGACCCAACTAGAGAACATCATCGGTACTAGAAGGGAGTGGGCGTTGTGGAGAGGAGGAAGCACTGTGGGATCTTTGGTGCTTTCTGTGCTTGGTAGTTTTCTTGCAGACGTTTCATTACCGAACTAGGGAACATCTTCAGTGCTAGAAGGGAGTAGGGTTTGTGGGAAGGAGGAAGAGGAGGGGGAGGACTGTGGAGTCCCTGGTGCTCTCTGAGCTTGGTGGTTTTCTTGCAGACATTTCATTACCCAACTAGGGGACATCACCAGTGCTAGAAGGGAGTGGGGTTTGAGGAAGAGAAGGGGGAGGAGGGGGAGGAAGAGAGGGGGAGAAGGAAAGAAAAGAGGAGGAGGAAGAGGAGGAAAAGGAAAGAGAGGAAGAGGAGGAGGAGAAAG